CTTTTGAACAAAGAATTAAAATTCTAAAAATGCCCAGGTGGTATGAATGGTGATACATGATCAACTAGGTGGTTTTTCTTGATAAGGAAGATTGTAGGTAATAACTGAATGAAGTTACTAATGGAGACACGTTAAGAGTATCTTAAATGAAGGAGGACCATATAGAGTATTAAATTGAGTGACTGAATGCTTTATAGGCAAAAGTAAATCTTGTGAATTCAAAAGAAATTAGAAAAGAGAAACAAGAAAAACAAAACAAAAAACCAGCAGTAAATACAAAGTAGTTCTAAGATCACATCATCTAAATGAGAACAGAAGGAACAAACCAAATCAAAGAGCTGCACACTTGAAGAAAAACTTCAATAGTTACATTAATTATATGTAGGAACCACCACAACTATAAGATGGAGATTGTTATACTATATTATAAAGCAGCCAACTATGTAGTCTGAAAAATGAACTTTAGGTGGCTCAAGATAGAAAGATTTTATATATACATATATAATGCATGTATAATACATAATATATAATATACATATTCATTCACATATATGAATTCCAGAAAATAAAACCAAGCTAGATATCCACCAATAGATGAAGGGGTAAAAAAACATGGCACATATACACAATGAAACTTTCTGAAGCCATAAAGAAAATGAAATGAAGGCATGTGCATGAAAATGGTTGCAACTGGAAATCATCTGTTAAACAAAATAAGAATGACTGAGAGACAACCAACAGTACTATGTTTTCCTTTATATGCAGCACCTACAATTAAAAGTACATGTGTGTATTTATACGTGTATTTACATGTGTGTGTTTATTGTATTTATGTGCATTTATATGTGTGTTTATATATGTATGTGTGTTTCTATGTGTATTTATTTGTGTTTCTATGTTTATTTATGTGTTTCTATGTGATTTCATGTGTTTCTATGTGTATTTATTGGTGAGTGTTCACGTGTGTATTTATGCATGGGTGATTATATGTGTATGTGTGTTTATGTCTGTGTGTGTGTGTGTGTGTGTGTGTGTGTGTGTGTGTGTGTGCGCGTGTGCGCGTGTGCGCGTGTGCGTGTGCGTGTTAGACATGGAACTAGAAAGGAGATAACAAGAATGTAGGAAGAAATCTTAAAAGAGGTCATTTAGGGTGGGCATTCCCCTAATGGTCAGCTTTGGATCCTCACCTTCCATTTCCTTAGTAACACCAGGAAGGAAGTCATCACAACTGTCCCTCCTTAGGATTTCAAGTACCATAAGAAAAGGAGGAGCTAGCTGGACTTTGTTGAGCCCCATTAAGGAAATTCTACTTCCTCCTGATCAAAGGAATGATATCTGTGTTCTTTTGGCTCCGTGTAGAAACATGGCGTTCTGATCTATTCCAAAAGCATAGCATTAAACCCCGTTGTCTCCTCTTCCTCTCTCAAGAGTGAATGCAACTGGGCCTGCCAAACATGCCTCCTTGAGATCACTCCACAGGAAGGAAAGCTGATTTACCTCAAGAAAGGTGATGGAGATGGGAAGACTAACTATCCCTCATAAGGTTATACTTACACTTTCCAGAAAACACCCCCTTCATGCAGCTGTTTATAGAGCTCCACTGTGCAGCGCAGCTCTAAGACTGCCTTTTTCTTCCCTGACTTCTACCTCAACAGCACAACTTTTTCTTTTCTTTCTTTGTTTCTTTTTTAAATACTGACCAAAAACCTAAGTCTATTTTCCTTGACACTTAAGGCCTTTCTTACTGTTTCTCTAAAGACACACCCAACCAGAAACACACCTCTTTCTACAGCTGCTTGCCAACCTCCACTGAAGACTATGCCTGTTTTCTTAAACCCTAACTCAAAACACATAGCTCCCTCTCCCTTTCCCTCTCCTCCATGACCCTCTTCCTCCAAACCGCACAAATTTACTCCTCTTCTGTCTGTTGTTTTCTTTCAAATTCTAATAGTCATCAAGCTTCCTTCTAAGTCCATAAGTCAGTAAGACTTAGAACCTCAAAGGCAAACCTGACTTCCCCAATAACATTATCTGCTAAGCTTAATTTAAATTTGTAGAACATAAACTCAGCAAAGCAGAGCTGTTATAAGAAACACACTTGTCAAGCACACTTAAAGATAGTCAGTCCTTGGTAGCTTTTCTCCCGCTCAAGAAAAATAGTTCCTGACCCTTGCTCATGCAGGCAACCCAAATTCAATGGATCTCTCTTTTACACACACACACACACACACACACACACACACACACACACACACACACGACATGGAAAGTAGTTGGGGGCATGAAAAAGAGGCATTTGTTGGGAGACAAGAGGGCATTTGTTGGGAGACAAGAGGATAATGGAGGTGGAGGGGTGGAGGGATTTGATCAAAGAATATTATATACATATGTGTAATTATAAATTAATAAATTTAGAAAATATAAAAAAATATATTAACAAGTTTTCTAGTGTGTGTGTGTGTGTGTGTGTGTGTGTGTGTGTGTGTGTGTGTGTGTGTGATAGCTGTGAGTACCTGTGGAGGTCAAAAGGTGGCAAACGATCTCCTGAAACAGGACTTTCAGGCATTGTAAGCCATCTGAATGGGTGCTGGTAACCAAACTTGTGTCTTCTATAAGGCAGCAAGTGTGCCTAATCACTCAACCCTCTCCAGTTCCAACACAAAAGAGCTTTTTAAAATAAAAGTATTATTTTAAGAAGAAAATTTTAACACAAAGATCATGTATTTGAACATAAAAAGAAATTCAAGTCATGCAAAATATTATCTGCTCATAAATCATTTAAATAAATCAGTAACATAGTACATTTAGAAATGTAATCCAATATGCCAAATATTGGGAAACTGAGCAGTATCTTTCTAAATCACCTGTACATTCAAAAAGAAATCATGTGCCAAATTTAAAATAATACTAATACTAATAATACATTAAAGTTTGTCAAAATACTAAAGTAATGATTAGAAGAAGATTTTAAGACTTATATTAAGGAATAAAAAAGGCTTACTGTCAATGATCTATGCTGCCTAGCTATGGAAAAAGGAAGCAATAAAGTAAAGTAGGAAAAATGAAATGGAAAAAGACAAACAATAATAACTGTCAGCACACCCAATCTTGATTCTCAGAAATAAATCAAAAAAGAAGAAAAAGCATGATCCAGAAATTTTATTATTGCCCTAATACCCAAGCATGGTAGCTGCATTATAAGAAAGGAAAACTGTAAACCAATATAACTCACAGACAAAGATACAAGACTTCCTAACAAAGCATTTGCAAACCAAGACTAGCAAATATAGTTAGAGTGGTTAAAAATAGTGCTCCATGGATATTTGGAATTTAACCCAAAATGCAAAGCTATTTCAACCTTCCAAACTTAAAAAATGAGGTCAATAAATATTAACAAAATCACGAATGGAAAAAAAAAGCCTGCAAAGGACATAGATGTGGAAAGGACATGGAACCCAAATGAACAACCAACAAAAATCTCCAGTACTGGAAAAAATAGTCTAATGAAATCTATCCATGGATGATACCCTACCCTAATGCTAGCATACAATACACACTTCCTCTATGGTCAGAAAGGATTCTCCTACTTCTCACTGGTGACATAGTCATCGCAGACAGTGTAAGAGAACAATGGAAGAAGTAAAACTATTTTTGGTTGTTCCTTTTCTCTGCCCATAAAACCAAGGTTGCCACACACTTATAAAATTTATTTAGTAGAGCTGGAGAAGTAGCTCAGAGGTTAAGAGCATTGACAGCTCTTCCAGGAGTCCTGTGTTCAATTCCCAGCAACCACATGGTGGCTCACAACCATCTATAATGAGATCTGATGACCTCTTCTGGAATGCAGGCCACCATATACATACAAAATTAATCTTTAAAAATTCGTATTTAGTAAAGCTAGATAATATAAAAATCAACAGATACAGATAGCTCACCTTGTAGCTTCCCAACTCTAAAATGGTACAAGAGCAATGAGCACTCAGGACAAACAGTATTTTGAATTTAGTTCTTTTTCCCAAGTTCATTATGAGGCAGGGCAGTGGTAGCAAGCCTAGGCTCCAGTTGCCCATGTGATCAATGCCCCACAGAGTACTGTTGACAAGCTATGACGTCCTGAGGGGAAGAGGATTAAGTGCATACTCCAATATTTTCTATTTACAATGTTTATGAAGACACGACTCTCATAAGTCAGCAAGCATCTGTACAGAAGAGTCACTTCTATGTGTATATACCACCAATTAATAACAATATATTTGAAATAATACTACTTGTAATAACATTTTCAAATAGGAAAAAGTATAACATGAAAGACTCTTTTTAAAACTGTAAAATGCTACAGAAAAATAAAGATGTAAGTGATGACCCATATACCTGTTGATGAAATAGAAATATTAATAGTATTAAAGTGGCAGCTTCCCCCATGAAATTCTCAAAATAATTTCCATAAAAACTGACATGATTCTTAACTTGGTTTTTATACAAAAATATGAATGATCTACTTGTCAAAACAATCTTTAAAATGGGCAAAGTTGAAGGACATTTTATAGGATTCTGTTCAAAATTTAGCTAAAAGCTATACTAACAAAGAAATGTAAAATTCATGTGTTTGAATCATAATAACCAATACAATCACAGTGGCAAGTGAGACCATGGAGGAAGCATTTACTGTGTCAATGACACTATTAAAAGGGCTTGCAGGTCCACTCTCTTAAACACGCCCTTCCACCACCTGCCATGGGAGCCCTCACCACATGCCACAGCCACAATTGCAGACTTCCCAGCCTCTAAACTTGAGAGAAATGTTTCCTCTTTATAAATTACTCTGAGCTAGCTTTTTGCCATCACAAATGGATTAAGACCAAACCAGTTCCACACAAGCAGGTGTAGCTGTGACAACGGAAAAAATGTGGGAGCTGCTTTGAAAGTTGAGCACAGGCAGAGGCCAGAATAGTTTTGAAGTGAATACTGAGAAAAATCCAGGATTTCTGTGAGTCAGGCATCTGGGTCAGAAGACAAGAATTTCCAGGGGAAGTCCTCAGTCATCCTGGTGCTTCCCCAAGTGATGGTGGGAATCTGACACTCAGAGGGAATGAAGGGAACTGGAGGAAGAGCCATCCTTGAGACAGTACAGCAAAGGACTTGGCTGAGTTATGTCTCTGTCCTAAAACTTCTGGGAAGGCAGGATTTAAAGCCCTGAACTAGGGAAGTTGGCTGAAGAAATCTCTTATGTGTTCGAGGTAGGTGCTATGCTATTTCTCTTAATTACTTATAGTGATATTTTAGAAGATAGAAATGACTTAAAGATGGTATTAACAAAAAGGAGAAGATAAAAGTTTGGAAATTCTCAGCCAGGCAACGTAAGCAAAAAGGCCCAATGTTAGGGAAGAAAAACCATGGGTGTATCCAAGCAACCATTGGGTAAATGGGTTAACACAGATAGATGAAACCATATCCAATTCAGCAGGACAATGGAAGAAGAGCTGGCAAACATTTTGGAGCTCACTATGAGGAAGTCACCATGCCCATCCTAAGTGTGGGGAGCTATGGCTTTGGGATCAGGACAGTCTCAAAGGAGGGATTCAGGGGATGTATGGGGTTTTGGGGCTCTTTGCTCAAGGCTGCCATATTCTGGACTCCTTGTATGTCACAGCTATGGCTCCAGTGGGCCATGGGGAATCTTGGCAGCTGCTCCAAAAGGCATTAACTGGTTGTCCTTGGCAGAATCCTTGAGGTGCTAATTTGTCCACATATATCATGCAAGAGCTACCCCCAAGCCCCCCAAAATAGAGCCACCGGTGTGCAATGCCACTCTTGAAAAGTTGAAGACAAGGAATTTCAGTGTGAAAACAAAAGCTTGGGCTGCACTTAACAGCTACCTGGGCCTCAGGGGACCAATCCTCACCCTAGTATATCTTGAAGGCAAGAAACAAGCTCCAAGATTAATGTCAAGGTTTAAGACTTACATAGGACCTGCACCTCCTCCCTCCTCTTTCCTATCCCTTTGTCAGAAGGCAACGTCTGATGTACACACATTCTTCCACTGCATTTCAGAAGCATGTAACTTGTCTGGGCTCACAGCATCACACTGCAAGGCAATTTGATGCTAGAAGTTAAGAGACTGGAACCAATGGGGTGGAATGGCTAGCGGAGGAAGAATTTGGGTCTCTGGGTCAAAAGTTATGGTCTGAATTTGTTTCTAACAAATTCATGTGTTATGTATTTTTAGCTCCAAGGCCACAAACTTGGGAGGTGGGGCCTCTAGGGTGATATTTAGGTGTTGAGCTTTGTCCTTAGGATGAGATCAATGCCAGATAAAGGTTTCCACAAAGGTTCCTAAGACACACCCCCTCCCCACTCTCACACACACACACACACACACACACACACACACACACACACAAGGACCCAAGGACCCATTCTTGCAAGTTTCATTTTCTGAGACTCTGTCTTGCTCTCTATTTGTCCCTCTGTCTCCCTCAGAGCTGAGTGGCTAATATGGTGCCTGGCTTCTTCCTGTCCTAGAGAGCAAGATGCTGAGGCTACAGAGCTGAGAGAAACAAACTCCCAAGTAAAAAAGAGGAGATATCATAAGGGTACCAAGTCATAATGTACTCACAGCCAAGTCTAGTGATGAAGGCCCCACATTGACAAAGAAATACAAAGAAGCAACTACCAGGGCCTAATGTAGCTTACTAAGAATGGACGCTCAGCTGCCATGGAAACAAAGCAAGTAGCATCCTCTGGGACCAGCAAAATACCAAAGTCCTTACTTCCTTAGGCCAGGGAGTTTGTCACCCAATGGACTACAGAAGCCTATCCAGTTGAATAAGCTGTGGCCTCCTCTCTCCGGCCGACAGAGAACAGGTCAGGACTCTTCATCCTGCTCTGAGACCTGAAGGAAACATTCCCAAGTTCATGTATAAAGAGAAGAATATGCAGCATGTATGTCTAATCTCCCCCTCAAGGCGACACACTTGAAAACAGAAATCAAGATTTATCTCTCTAACTGTAATCATTCTAAAAGCCAGACAGAATTAATAGTGTTTCATTTTGGGGGGAAATTGTCTAAAGTTAATATAAATTACTTAGGCTATTATTGAAAAATCACATATATAAATCTGATGTTTCTCTCAGGATTGTGTTTGCAGATTTATAGACCCTATGTAATATAAATGAGAATGAGGAAACAACGATCTTATTCAATATTCTCATGCTGCACACAGTAAATGGTCTATATCCACACCACTTTCTCTTTGCTCAGGCCACTCTGGCCTGCAGCTGCTCTCTGAATCTACCAGGTTCTGTCCTGCGATCCCTAAGTGGTGTAGCACAGGCTTTCTCTCGGATGGAAGCCCTTTCAATGTCCCTCCTTGTGAGTGACCTCCCTGATTGCCTACTCAGCATCACCCTCACCTCCAAACTCTCGCAGGTGTCCAAGCCCTTCGCTATGGCTCAGCTCCATCTGCCTGGGACAGCTTGGGTATCACTACTAAATTGCTTCAGAGGAACATTTTGGATTTTGTATTCTTTCAGATGTTGTAACATTTTCATTCACATAATGAGACGTCTTGGGATGAAAACCAAGCCTAAGCATGAAATTCATTTATGTATCACATATGCATACCTGAAATGTTATATAATATTTTTAGTGTGAATATATTTTGACTAGGCCTGTCACATCAAGTCAGGTATAGAATCTTTCCATTTGTGGTCTCGTGTTAGCACTGATGAGAACATTTTCTATTTCAGGACATTTCAAATGTCTCATTTCTGAGTTAGGGATGCTCAACCTGAAATAGCCTTCGCTGGTTTTCCACTAGGCAGAGCTGCCCGATAGGTGTGACTTATGCAGCCACATACAGCCCTACCCTCTAAGGATCTACTCTTGGTTATGCTCTGCCATCACCCTTTTGAATGCGTACTGCATGAGGTCCATCGGGAAACAGGAACATGTGGCCAACGGAGCAGTTCACGTGTCCACTGTTCCTTTCTACCTCATTTGCATGTGGCTTTCTCAGTGTCCTATGAAAATAGAATTCCAAAACATGTGAAAGATGAGTGAGACTCAAAGCCAAGTGCATTTGTGAGTCAGCAGTGAGTAAGTACACTGACAGCCCCAAGAGGACAGAAAAAAAGGCAACTACATTCTAAATAGGAGCTAACTACCTATCCCAGATAGCAGGACGCAGAAAGAAAGCTGACACCACTTACAATTCACTTTCCTTTTTTATCAAGGTAGAAAAGTAGCAGGTAGAATATGGACATCCCATGGGGTGAAATAAAACAACTGATTGTTTGGGGTAGCATTTTCACTGCATAACTTTAGGGATTCCATATGCAAGTTTAGAGGCCCCATGTGAACATTTAAAAAAAAAAAAAAACAAGCATTGCATAATATAAAAATGAGAGTAAATTTCAAAATCATTACTTAATATTTAAAATATTCTCCACACTGAATTATACTGAACAACAAATTTTAAAAACGACCATAAATGAAGAGTCTGCAGAAATACTGGTACTGTTTCCTGAATTTTGAATGAAGGGCTTCAGGCTTTCACTCTGCATTGGATCCAGCTAATGAGACAGTGAGCCTGCCACTATGACAGGAATGTTCAGAACACAGGGCCTCTGCTTCAAGAACAGATCTATGTAAGTGTCGTACACAATACCATTTTGCGCTCGTTCAATTTCATTAAGTGTTTATTAGACATGAGGAAGATGCAATAATACCAAAAGACCTTAGAAGCCAAGAAAACTCTTGTCCCCTTTTCTGCTCTGTGGGGGATGTACCATAGCCACAGAGCTACATTTAGACAGGGGCATAGACAAGGACCCATCAGAGAACACCCGGGTCAAACTGGGTCCTATGTTTGTTAGCTATGTAATCAAACAGAAGGGAATGAACCCTGGTGAGTCTCAATTTTCACTTTTGGGAAACACGGATAATAAAGCATGTCAAAAGATGAGGAAAGTGGAAGGCAATTTGGAAATAAGCTTGCTGTACATTAAGTGTTTGTGTTTCAAAAGCTACCAGGTCTCTACAAAAGATTAGCGGGATAGCGGGTGGCCTCTCAGCAAGACCTGGGGAAGACAAGACGACCTAGGAGGAACAGAAACAACAAGGTCTACCAGTTGGATGTCTGACACAGAAAACATTTAAGAATGAGTGTAAGGTAAGCTGGGGAGATAGTTAGGCCAGGAAAGTATTTGCTGTGTAAGCATGAAGACCTGCGTTGAATACTCAGCACATAAAGGCTAGGCATAGTGGCAACACTTATACATAATCCCAGTGCTGGGGAGGAAGAGACAGGAGGACCTCTCATTTTTGGCTAGCCAGTTTAGCCAAATCAGTGAGCTCTGGGCCAAGTGAGAGACCCTGTCTCAACAGACACAATGAAGAATGAGTGAGGAAAACACATGCCCTCTGTCCACACATGCACACACGTGCACACACACAAACATGTATACATGAAAACATGCACATGCTGAGAATGCAATGTAGAGCTGGCGATGTACTCAGGGTGCTCTGTGAGGTCACACAGTAGGGATCAGGGATGGTAAAGCATTTAATCCCAGCACTGCAGGCCATTACTATTTCCAGGCCAACCAGGGCTACATAGCAAGACTGTCTCCAATTTTTAAAAAACTTAGGGACTAGCAGAATAAAGTAATGATAAGAAAGAAAAAGCAACATGAATAAGAATTTCCTAAAGAAGCAAACCATGGACCTGTCTAGGATATAATAAATTGTCTGTCCCTGGAGATAATGAAAATATAATGGAAAACATAGTTTGAAGGAACATGTAACACTAGATAAGGACTAGACATGAAGCAGCAATAGAAACACGGATGGTAGATGTTATTTCTTGGTGCATCTTAATGTCTAAACACCCTGAGAAGTACTTCACATACACTATCTTTTTAAATCCTAACTACAAATTCATGGGGTAGAGAACACCTCTCATTATCCTAGCTATTGAGGGTACTGAAGAATATTCCTTTGTCCATGGTCACAAAAGCATCTCCCTTCTAGTGAATTCAGTTCAAATTCCAAGATTCAGAGAAATTGGGCACATTTACTCAAATGCTAAAAGAAATGAGAATGACTACAAATCCCAGTCTGAATGTGAAACACTCCCCAAATAGCATCCTCCTTTTCACACAAACACGGCAGCATCCATCTGGACCATGAGGAAACCTAAAAGACACACTGTGTCTGGCCAGGAGAATGACATCACTATGAAACAGAACCTTTAAAAAAAGCAAGAAAACAAAGGTGTTTGGATTCCCCCCCAGCCCCCGCCCGCCTACCAGAACGTGACCCAGAGTATTGAGCTACCAGCTTGTCCCCATCTCCACAGAAACACTGAATTGGGGCTCCTGAGCTCTGTCTCCAGCAAGAATCACTGAACCTGGAACCTCTGCCTCTACCTTGGCAGCAATAGGGGAGATAGGCCTCTGAGGTAGCATCTCTATCCCGTAGGAAGACATGTTATGCAGCTTTTTACACTTTAACATCTTGATGCTCCATCTAGGAAAGCCACAGTTGGGTACCTTGAAGTGTGGCAGGTGTGTGAGTACCTCTTGGTGGGCTACTGTTCACTTCCCTAGCAGAAAGGCCAGAGCACAAACCAAACCAAGGTCTGTGGAAGCTAAGCTGGGATACTCACTTCAAGGTCTCCAGTCCCGGGCTGCCGAAGCCCAGTGTAAACTACCTGTTAGGGTCCTCTTGAGATGACATCAGCACAATTTCCAACTGAAAATTAAGAATTGGAAGGCTGACAACTCTTGTTCCTAAACACATTTGAACTCTTAATCTTCTCATACTCAACAAAGTACACTATGAGTACAGGTGCCTTAGAAACATACTTTTTCAAATAAGGGAAAGACAGGGCAAAGAAGTGAGAGCCACCAAAGATACTGGAAATTGGCAGGGAAATGATATCATAGCTGTTCCTCTACTTCACACTGGTGATGGTATTAAAGCTCCTATACAGATGCCTTAAACACACACACACACACACACACACACACACACACGAGAGAGAGAGAGAGAGAGAGAGAGACAGACAGACAGACAGAGAGACAGACAGAGAGAGGCAGAGACAGACAGAGAGAGAGAGAGGAAGAGAGAAAGAGAGAAAGAGAAAGAATTGGACGAAACCCTGAAGCTACAAGTAGGAAGAAAATGAGAATCCTGAATATTTCATTAGTATAAAAATGTCCCAATAAAAGCTTTACCACTGAAGACAGTTATTCTGGGCTATCTGATCAGCAGTACAACTCCTTATCTCTCCCCATCACCAGAGCAGTTTGGATACTTGAAGCAACATAATATATTACACTGTAATACCTATCTGCTTCAAACGCAGTCGGAAAACACCGGCACCACATAAATCATACATGGCATCGCATTAGATCTTTTAAATAATGTTGTGAACACCAGGAAAATATTCCAGGGATCCATTTTTCATGTTTCTTTTGTTACGGCTCAAATGGAAGTGGCTACTTTGCTTCTCCATCAGTTCCTTTCAATTAAATAAATCAAATGTGTGCAAAAGGCTTTCACCCATGAAAGGAAGTGCATGCAGCTGACAAACAGGAATGGCCCCTGTCCGTGCCCATGGCCCAGAGTGCTTGTTCCAGCAGGCCTGTCCTCCTCCATGTGCCCTCCCTCTTATTCGTCTGCTGCCTGCTTGCCTCCTCTTTGGCATCTGTTTCATCAGAGCTTCTAGCACTGACAGAAAGGGAGGGAGTTCCCGAACGAACCCCTAGGCATCCCTCGCTCCTGGCAGCATGATCATACCACAACAATGAAATAATCTATGTATGTGCAATTCGCACAAGGACCTCTTTATCTGTTTCTGCATCGCCTTGACAAACAAGAGTGGGAACTCAAGAGACACAAATAGCGAAATATAGATTGTATAAAAAGTAGTAAAGAATGCCTCTGTAATAGATTCTAGCAATGGATTTTGCAGGAAATTCAACTGTAAACTAAAAATGAGCCTAAAGAATCTGGAATTTTTCTAATTCATGTTTAACTAATTCACCCTTCCTTTCTTCCTTCTGTTCTTCTGTCCTTCCCCAGCTCACACTTACATTTGCTTTCAAGAGAGCTCGCCCCCACTACACATATTCACACACTTGGTTTCTCTTTAAATCCATGCTAGAAATATTTCTACATCGTCCAGTGAGTGTAAATGCATCTGCTTGCTGTAAATGCAATACCTAAAGAAATATCCATACCTATAGAAAACCAACACTATTGTTTTCTTACATTTTTAAAGACAGCAGACAAGTGAATGTGTAAAGCCCTGGGACATTTTCACACATCTCCTTAAACTTCGTTCTTATTCACCCCAACTACTCTGCCTGATTCCCCTGCTGCCAGTCTTGTTGGAACTTCTCCCTTTTTCAAAATGAAAGCAGTACTGGTTCTCATGCCATATGTGCATATGACCCTCCTTTTCCCTTTCCTCCTCCACCTTTTGTAAGATCTCTTCTTCCCCCTTAAAACCCTCCTTTCAACTTTCATAACACACACACACACACACACACACACACACACACACACACACACA